ACATTGTTGTACACAGGGAGAGTGTTACACATAGGAACATTGTTGTACACAGGGAGAGTGTTACACATAGGGACATTTTTGTACACAGGGAGAGTGTTACACATAGGGACATTGTTGTACACAGGAATAGTGTTGTACATAGGAACATTGCTGTACACAGGGAGAGTGTTGTACATAGGAACATTGTTGTACACAGGAATAGTGTTACACATAGGGACATTGTTGTACACAGGAATAGTGTTGTACATAGGAACATTGTTGTACACAGGAATAGTGTTGTACATAGGGACATTGTTGTACACAGGAATAGTGTTGTACATAGGAACATTGTTGTACACAGGAATAGTGTTGTACATAGGAACATTGTTGTACACAGGGAGAGTGTTGTACACAGGAACATTGTGGAGCACAGGAACATTGTTGTACACAGGACCATTGTGGAGCACAGGAACATTGTTGTACACAGGAACATTGTGGAGCACAGGAACATTGTTGTACATAGGAATAGTGTTGTACACAGGGAGAGTGTTACACATATGAACATTGTTGTACACAGGAATAGTGTTGTACATAGGAACATTGTTGTGCACAGGGAGAGTGTTACACATAGGGACATTGTTGTACACAGGAATAGTGTTGTACACAGGAACATTGTGGAGCACATGAACATTGTTGTACATAGGAACATTGTTGTACACAGGAATAGTGTTATACATAGGAACAGTGTACATAGGGACATTGTTGTACACAGGAACAGTGTTGTACAAATGTACATTGTTGCACAGTGATAGTATTTCTGCAGTGTCATGGACACAACCAGGAAGAAGTTGATAATGCACAAGAACAATACCGAAAAGTTCCGGTAGTAATATTTCCTGATCAAATAGAAAACCCCATTCTTTCCATATGCCTTTGATGCTGTTCCTTGTGTATACACATGCACAATGAAGGGAAACGTCATATCATTGTGATCTTGCAAGTCATGTGAAACTAAGAGAGTGGAAACACGTATTTCACTGGTCTGTGCATTAGAACAATGTCGCAGCATAGTTTCAAAAACAAAGTGCACCAGTGGTGGTAGTGACAAATTCAGACAAAGCCTTTCCATGGCTGCTTAAAATAACCGAGTTAATAAAAATTGTATGTGCACGAGTGCAAATATCACTTCACGCGCACCAGTGTATTGCTTACATCATCCGGATGGTATTGTTGACCATCTTATCTTGATGTCAGAATGGTTAGAATGATGTCACAGTAGAAATGATGTCATAGCTGAAGATTGTTGACGTCATTCAACAATTGTGGTTTTCTTAGATGGCGGTCGTGATCAGTGCATTTTTCTAAAGGGGAACTCAAAACGATTACGAAATAATGGGAAACAAGTATTTGTCACAGAGTGACGAAATATCCCCCGCCATATACACCATAGTACCAAATATGAAGACAATCCAGCGATTAGTTCTTGAGATATTGTGGCAACACCGTTTTCCAACTCCAAAAACAGATTTGCCTGCTGTGACCTTGAAAATGGGGTCAAGGTCACCAAATCTGACAGGTGTATGCGGTGTCTGTATATACACTATAGTTCCAAATATGAAGACAATCCAGCGATTAGTTCTTGAGATATCGCGGCAACACCGTTTTCTAACTCCAAAAGCAGATTTGCCTGCTGTGACCTTGAAAATGGGGTCAAGGTCACCAAAACCGACTGGTTTCTGTGGTGTCTGTATATACACCATAGTTCCAAATATGAAGACAATCGAGAGGTTTAGTTCTTGAGATATCGCGGCAACACCGTTTTCCAACTCTAAAAGCAGATTTGCCTGCTGTGACCTTGAAAATGGGATCAAGGTCACCAAAACCGACTGGTGTCTGCGGAGTCTGTATATACACTATAGTTCCAAATATGAAGACAATCGAGAGGTTTAGTTCTTGAGATATCGCGGCAACACCGTTTTCCAACTCCAAAAACAGATTTGCCTGCTGTGACCTTGAAAATGGGATCAAGGTCACCAAAACCGACTGGTGTCTGCGGAGTCTGTATATACACTATAGTTCCAAATATGAAGACAATCCAGTGTTTAGTTCTTGAGATATCGCGGCAACACCGTTTTCCAACTCCAAATGCAGATTGCCCTGCTGTGACCTTGAAAATGGGGTCAAGGTCACCAAAACCGACTGGTGTCTGGGGTGTCTGTATATACACCACAGTTCCAAATATGAAGACAATCCAGTGTTTAGTTCTTGAGATATCGCGGCAACACCGTTTTCCAACTCTAAAAGCAGATTTGTCTGCTGTGACCTTGAAAATGGGATCAAGGTCACCAAAACCGACTGGTGTCTGCGGAGTCTGTATATACACCATAGTTCCAAATATGAAGACAATCCAGTGTTTAGTTCTTGAGATATCGCGGCAACACCGTTTTCCAACTCTAAAAGCAGATTTGTCTGCTGTGACCTTGAAAATGGGATCAAGGTCACCAAAACCGACTGGTGTCTGCGGAGTCTGTATATACACCATAGTTCCAAATATGAAGACAATCCAGTGTTTAGTTCTTGAGATATCGCGGCAACAAACAGGTGGGACGTACGGACGGACGTACGGACGGTCGTGAATACTATATCCCCCGCTTCGCGCTTTCGCGCGGCGGGGGATAATAAACAAATTATTACACCCACATGTGTGTCATACTGATTTTACGAAATTTGTGTAAGAATTCATGTATTACTCTTGCTCTCGCTCTCGCTCGGTAAATACTAGAATTCTTACACTCATTTCATAAAATCGGTATGACACACATGTTCGTATACAAATCACTATTTATTATCACTTAACATCCAAATAATGCTCTATGATCTGTTACACTTACGTATAATACTTCATGTTCCACTAGGGGCAGTTTGGTAGCCTAGTGGTTAAAGCGTTCGCTCGTCACGCCAAAGACCCAGGTTCCATTACCGACATGGGTAAAATGTGTGAAGCCCATTTCTGGTGTCCCTGCCATGATATTGCAAGGATATTACTAAAAGTGGCGTAAAACCATACTCATTCACTCACACGATCACGGTCCACTACATTCACATATGACTTCATGACCATGTCGGCCGCGTCGTACCAAAAGACATTAAAAGATGGTACTTGTTGTTACCCTCTCTGGCGCTCGGCATTAAGGGGCTGAAACAAGGACTGGTCGGCTCGGAGACAGTATACTGTGTCTGAGTGGGGTATTCATTTGAAACTGCGACATGGTATCTCAGTGTGCTCGCACTATAAATCGGCATCAGTCCGGACTAATACAATCAGCCACACACACATGTGCATGCATGTCGCTATATAAGTGCAATAATCTTGGACGCGATGTTAAACCCCATTTCACCTCACCTCACCTATTCAAAACAAGTTGCACCTGACTAAACCAGAGATCACACAATCCCATGACCATTCAACTGACATTTCCCAAACCTATATCCAGTGACCTGAGCACTGAACACAACAGGAGTAAGGCTGCACTTGACATGTTAATAATAGAGCCTGTCCTGCTGGCCTGTCACACAGGGACGGAGATGACTGCACTCTCCAGTGAAGAATGGCCCCACTCTATCAGGGCACCCCTTCAGTGAAGTGGAAGACATGGACACCCTCCTTGAAACTAGTGGGACTTCCCACCCTCTCGTTGACTCAAGTATGCTATGTGTATTGTCAATATCCCACTTCCTATAGGGTGTCACATTCATGGGTGTTTACACATCTAAGCATGAAAAACAGCTCTGATTGAACCATTAAGGAAGAATCAGGAACAGTACCACTTCAGTGTGATTGTGTTTTTGTTACTAAATCAGCTGTGACATCACGTGTTTGATACACATATTTGACCTCTTTATCGTATATATTCAAGTGATATATTATATTATATTATAATATTATATTATATATTAAAGCATATAAGCACAGCAACTCGGAATGCTCAGACATGAGGTGGGCACCCCTAAAGAAAACTAAGCAAGCTTTGCAAAGCTTTCATTCTACACTGCACGTAAACCTCATGACGTCACATCGCTCATTGGATGCAAAAGATATGTCAGTCATGCATAGAAAAGTGCCAAATTCCAAGCTCTCTGTTGTTCCTCTAACTTAAAATACATTCAATTTGTAGATTTCTATCATGTTTTCTGCACCAAATGTATTGTCTATGTTGTAGTAACCACCTATTATTTAATGATTTAAATACGCTTACTGACAATGACTGAAAAAAAGTACCACTCTATGTAAATTAGCTTCTGCAGTGATGCAGCTGTCAAATCGGCTGTTTCATTCAGAGGGGGTTTATTCTGATTTGACAACCTCTGATTTTCAAAATCATGGTAGAATATGTGTTAATTGTTGACCTCAAGGTCATAATGAAACTGATGCGTTTTGAAGATGTACGTCATGACTTGTGTACTTCAAGACTCATCTTCTGAATAAACATTTGGGCACAAATAGCTGAAATAATGTAGAAGTATCAAACAACAAAAGTAACATGATTCATGAAACTACCAGTCATATACATATTTGAAATTGTCCTTTACAAGGTAGACAACTCCAGAGTCCCATACTCATGTGCAATATGTTTCAGGGGAGACAACTCTATCACCATGACATTTAACATCTGTCTTTAACAGGGTAGAAAACTGTATCCCCATCACATATGAAATGTACTGATTTCAGGGGAGACAACTCTTTCACCATGACATTTAACGTGTGTCTTGGACAGGGTAGAAAACTGTACCCCTATCACATTTGAAATGTACTGATTTCAGGGGAGACAACTCTTTCACCATGACATTTAACGTGTGTCTTGGACAGGGTAGAAAACTGTACCCCTATCACATTTGAAATGTACTGATTTCAGAGGAGACAACTCTATCACCATGACATTTCACATCTGTCTTCAACAGGGTAGAAAACTGTATCCCCATCACATGTGAAATGTACTGAATTCAGGGTAGACAACTCCTACCTGGCTGACACTTGTAGGCCACCTCCAGGTATTTGGATGTTTCTGGGCATGGGTCCTGGCCGAAGGTTTTGGCGCTGGCCACCAGGTGGCAGGAGTGTCGGTTCTGACACAAGTCAAGGAGCACCTGTAACATAACAACAATGTCTGAACATGACAGCTCATAATAAGTACAGGACGATAACTGATATGTCACCCAAACAACGGGAAACGGAACTCAATCACCCATCTAGCATATACTCTCCATTTATTGGAATATATCCATCCATCCATCCATACAATCACCCATCTAGCATATACTCTTCATTTATTGGAATATATCCCTCCCTCCTTCCCTCCCTCCCTCCATACATACATACAGGTTTTGTCCTGATCGGGGTTGGGTCACCGATACCAGACATTCAGCCTAGTAACATTTTGATGTTTGTAATTATTTTGGTCAAATCCAATTTTCAAGTGCTTAATTTCTTTTGCCTGGCAGTTTGTTTATATGCAGCTATGAGAATCTCTTGCTGTGGCAGAGTTGGTAGGTAACAGTAAACTATGGTTATAACGAACTCAAAGGGACCACTAATATTAGTTCGTTATTACTGTAGTTCGTTATAAGCATATATACAGCAAATATACAGGAAAAAAAACAATTCATCATATCTGCCAGTTCATTATAAGCATGCTCGTTATAAATGTAGTTCACTGTATAACTTAGTCTTTTCTACAACTTATCTTCTGAATTACACGACATCTGGTACTTTGTACTAAGAAGCCTGGTGTGAGCGTTTGTATGTAGATGTGATATTTCTGGATTCTGCACGGAGGCTGTGGGTCATGTAGTCTGCACCACCCACATGTACTGCACACTGCATAGATGTGCAGATACTATATGCACTCATGATTGTTGCAACAATCCTGCAGCCATCTAGACACAGCGTATATTGTGCGCACTTCACAATAGGGGTACTGAGGCATTGGTTATAGTGGGTCCTAACAGTGTTAAATGTTAAATGTTGTACATCCCACACAATAAACACTGGTCATATGACACATGATGAAACACAGGTTATATCCCACACGATAAACACTGGTCATATGACACATGATGAAACACAGGTTATATTCCACACGATAAACACTGGTCATATCCCACAATAAACACTGGTCATATGACACATGATGAACACAGGTTATATTCCACACGATAAACACTGGTCATATCCCACAATAAACACAGGTCATATCCCACAATAAACACTGGTCATATCCCACAATAAACACTGGTCATATGACACATGATGAACACAGGTTATATTCCACACGATAAACACTGGTCATATCCCACAATAAACACAGGTCATATCCCACAATAAACACTGGTCATATCCCACAATAAACACTGGTCATATGACACATGATGAACACAGGTTATATTCCACACGATAAACACTGGTCATATCCCACAATAAACACAGGTCATATCCCACAATAAACACTGGTCATATCCCACAATAAACACTGGTCATATGACACATGATGAACACAGGTTATATCCCACACAATAAACACTGGTCATATGACACATGATGAACACAGTTATATTCCTCACAATAAACACAGGTCATATCCGAAAATAAACACAGGTCATATCCCACAATAACATTGGTCATATCCCACAATAAACACTGGTCATATTGCACATGATGAACACAGGTTATATTCCACACGATAAACACAGGTCATATCCCACAATAAACACTGGTCATATCCCACATGATAAAACATTGGTCATATTAAACACAATAACATTGGTCATATTCCACACAATAAACACTGGTCGGATCCACACACAATAAACACTGGTCATAACCCACATAGTAAACACTGGTCAATCTCACACAATAAACACTGCTCATATTGCATGATACACACTGGTCATATTCCATGATAAACAATGGTCATATCTCATACAAGAAATCCTTCTAAATGACTTGTCTGTTTGTTTGTTGTTTAACGACGCACACAGCAATTATTCAGCTACATGAAGGCGGTCTGTAAATAATCAAGACTGGACAATATAATCCAGTGATCGACATCATGAGCATCGATGCCCGCAATTGGGATATGATGACATGCATCAACCAAGTCAGTGAGCCTCATCACCGCTCCCGTTAGTTGCCTTTTACGACAAGGATGGGTTACTGAAGACCTATTCTACCCCGGATCTCCACAGGTCTGATTGATGAAAAAAACAAAATTCTTTCTAAGCCTTCTAAAGACATGATTTTGTAATGGTACTTTTCAATAGACAAAGCTTTTCTTTTGCCAGCCAGGGCTCGATGTAGGGAACTGGATTTAACATGCACCAGGTGCATGTTGACATGAAAACCTAGTTGCACCAGACAAAACCAGGTTGCATAGCAATTCATGAACTGATACGCATAACGCTGTGCTTGTTTTTTAAATTAAGACAGCATCATGAGCAACGTCCCAGTCTGTCAGGGCACAATGTCACACAATCAAGCACGCCACCAAGCCTGACCACCCAATCCATTAAGTCGCCTGTCACAACAAGCATAGGAGACCCATATCAACCCGTTATTTCAACAGGGTTGTAGATTTCCGAATTTCTATCAAGGAACATTTAATGGTTTTTAGATACACTCTAATTTGTTGCCATGGAAATGAAAAAAATAATAATGTAAAACGTCCTGAATAGGAAAAGACATCCGTTCAGTTCCAACATGCCTGATGTGTAGACAAAGTCTCAGGCAAAGAGATTGAACAGTTTAGAGTTATGCTCCAGAAACTTCATTTGGGCAGGTTGCAATTACTTAAATTATTTGAAAACAAAAACTTAAACACTGAACACTTTTTAGTACAAATGGACTAACTTACACACTCCACTATGGATTTCTTTAAATGTGGTAATTTTTTTTTTTTTGAGGGGAAAAACACAAAAGTGATTTATTTTGGGGCAAAAATGTGCATTACACACAAGAAAATATGTCAGTTGTTTTTATGTATTTTATGTTGAAAACTGCCGATCCCATGGATCAACTGAGATGAAACAGGGGTTAAATGTCAGGGGTTAAATGTCAAGTGTTTCTTGGGCTTTCGATAAATGGTCCATTATGAGATTAACAGTGTGATCTAGTGAAGGATGTCAGCAAACATGAATAATGTACACCAAAGCAACAAAAACCATCATCATAAGAAATCCATTGTAAGTAAGTCTACACAAATCAATATGCTGCCCAATATTTGGCTGACAGACAGTGTGAAAAGTTGTCAAACGGATTTCTATCGACAATAGGACCAATGAAAGACCTCAGTTACCATTTTATTGAATTATCAAAGCTTGGCATTTGTCTTGGGGCAGCTCAACCTCCTGTTGCCCCAGTTCCGTCCAAGGTAATTAGTTTAAGGTGTAAAGCATAGATCATGGCCATCACACTGGCACTGCACTGTCTGATAATGTCAACATCACAGGAGGCACGTGATTGTTGATTTTATTATTTGAACAATTAGATAGAAAATCGTCAGCAATGTCATACCTTCAAAGTGTATTAACCTTTATTTAAAGGAAAATTATAGACAATGATATTAGCAACTTAAAAGTCGCCATAGAAATGACATTGTTTGAATTTTTCAAACTGCCAAATAAACAGTTGTTCCTCTGTTAAAGCTACACATCCATTTTGCGTGTCTTGCACCAGATCTAAATTTAGCAGCAAAATCAGAAATAAAAACACAAATTGTAGGTCAACCAGAAAATTATATCTGGTCTCTACAAGAAAATCAATGTTTTTACTGGTGACAAACAAAAAAAGACATCCTGGCCTCATCCTAACCTAGGCCTGTATTAGCAAGGATTCCAGAAAATCAATATGGCCGCCAGCAGGTTGACACAAAAAGCAGGAATGGAAAATCTGCGACATTGAGCTTTGTTACAACTGTGTTATGTGGAATCAATGGTGCTGTGTAAATAGAGAAAGAAATAGCGCCTTACATGAATAGCTCCTTTGTTTCCCATGTTATAGGATGTGTAGACTAGTTGATGGGAAATAGTATATGGAAGTGATCGATGAAAGAGCTCACTAAGTAGTTGTTAGGCTGTTATGACCATCATTATACAACTTAGATTATGTAGGGAGTGTGTGGCAGACAATGCTGGGACATTACTATGTCTGAACTGACCGTAAGTCAGGGTATTTACGCCGTAAACACAAACACAGCCAATAACTTCTTATTACCCCCACACAGCGATGATGATACATTATTTCTAGACTAATATTTAGTCAATGAAAACAATTCTTAAAAATAATTAATATTTTTTTCTTCGTAAGAACCTTTTCTCTTCTGCTGTTTTCATGTGGAATCAAGCAAACTAGACTTGGTTAGTTTGATCTAGGCTTGCCTAGTCTTTTAGTAAAAAAATATACCTAAAAAATATAAATTCCAAAGTCATGCCACAGGACTACATTATTTGCTACAGTTTATGGTTTGAAAAGAACTGGATAAATAGTAACAAGAATAAAATTATTTTAACAAGCACATTTTGTTTTATGGCATATTAAAGAAATATGAGAGTAATCTATAATTTACCACTGCTTCGGCAGTATTGCAGTCATTAAGTGACAGTCTGCATTATCTTAGTGGGGGACATTGAGAATGGGGTTCCCACATTGTACTGATGCAGGAGTCAAACCTGTGTGTTCAGTATAACAAGCCAGTACTTCAACCATGAGGGGCGGTCGGGTAGCCTAGTGGTTAAAGCGTTCGCTCGTCACGCCGAAGACCCGGGTTCGATTCCCGACATGGGTACAATGTGTGAAGCCCATTTCTGGTGTCCCCCGCCGTGATATTGCTGGAATATTGCTAAAAGCGGCGTAAAACCATATTCACTCACTCACTCACTTCAACCATGAGGGTAATACCACTCTCATTTTACAGATATTAACTGCTTTGTAAGTTAATTTAGATATATATTAATCAAAAAAGTTTCTCATGTACCTCAAAAGAAGTTAAAGAACACTCAAATTTTTCAAATGACTATCGTTAATCTGACTTGTTACTCAAAAGAATTAAAAGAACACCTGATTTTTTCATACGACTAGTGGTTGAAGCTTTCGC